CATTTAGTAATCATTTTTCTGTGGAATTTATAATCTTCCCTCTTTCTTGGAATTCTTTAGCTTTCCTGAACGTCACTTTTCTGTTTCCCTTCCTGTAACTGTTTAATTTTACCTTTTACCCTTAATTGTGAGGAGGTCAGTTCCCAGTTGCACAAAGTTAGAGAAGCAGTTGGGAAAAGAGAAGTTGATAGTGTGTCAGAGAACTCAACACTCAAGTATATATGGACTGTCTCAAACAGGAAACATTTTATACACTTCCCCTTGGAGTAGAAACCAATGTTGGCGTTGTAGAGTATGGCCCCTGGGATCTGTTCTGCCACAATAAGATTAGACAGAGGGGATCCCAGGTGGGGCACATTCTTAGCCTCTCTATGCCTTGTGTTTTTTAATATGTAAAGCGAGACTAATAATGGTTTCCAATCTACCTACATAATAAGGTTATGTATCAAAGTTAGCAAAACAATGCAAATGAAGCACTTGGTAAAGCACTTAGCATTTAATGCTAAAAACATGTTAAATACTATTGTTCTGGTTGTTAAAATAACATAATTGACAGATCCTGAAGTTCTTCTTAATGGAGTTCATCACTTCATGACATAAACTTTGTGACTTCCACATATTTATCTCAAGACTTGACCCAAGACTCCTGTTTCTTAACTCTGGTTGAATGATGGATTTATAATCAGATGTCACGTCAAAATCAACCTCATGTTCTTTTTCTTATAACAACTTTGAAATTTCTTCCACCTACTAATGTTCCCAAACTATTTCAGTAGCATCAATCTTTCCTTAAGCCTAGGCAAAAGACTAAAAGTGATTGAGAATTACGGGTTCTAGGTCTATAGTCACTTGATTTGAAGCCATCTTTAACTCCTCTCTTTTACCCCCCAAGTCATTCATCAAGTTATGTTTATTTTTTCATGCAATTACCTTCACTAATAATGAATATTCACTGGGGACGTACTAAGTGCCAGACTCTGTTCTAAGCACTTTTACAGGTATTAATTCATTGAATCCTCATAACAACTTTACAGCATATGTACTGTTGTTATCCCCATTTACAAATATGGAAACCAAGACTCAGAGGTGAAACGATTGCTCCTGACTTCTATGCCGCACAGCTCTCCGTGATGAATCTTGAATCTCTCTTTCCATCACTTCTACCATCACTTGGGCAGTGGCTCCCATTACTTCACCTCTATTATTACAATGGGCTCCTAAATTGATCTCCTTGACTTTGCATTTTGCCATACAACTTGTATACTGCTGCTGGATTGCTCTCCTTAAGCACTGCTTTTATCATGTCATTCCTTCATTCAAAATCCTTCTATGCCTCCCTGTGGCCTAGGATGTATAAAATAAATTCCATCCCAATTTTTCAGGCTTTCTGTAGTCTGATCCTGTGGTATCTATTCAGCTTTATTTTCCCCTCCTCTTATCCCATTATCCATTACTCCAATAAAACTGAGTTTTTCACCATCCCCCCAACCACATTAATCATCTCTGTGACTTCATTCATTGCTATAGGTCTAAACTTCACCTGTCCATCCCAAAATGTTGTGGCTCTAGGAACCCTTCCTTACTAATCTCAACTAAAAGTGACCTTTCCTTCTCTGGAACTCTCATAACACTTTCTTTGTACCCCTCTTATGATATCATGTTCAGCTTAGTATTATAGTAATTTTTGTACTTTTCTTATTTCTCTCCCTGCTCATCAGTTCATTAGCTTGTTGAAGACAGAGACTGTTTCAGTAAAGCTTGTATCCCCTGCAGTGCCTCTTTTAATGCAGAACACATAATAGGTGATCAATGAATAGTTCCTGAATTGAACAGAATTCTGGTTTCATCCACCCAGAATGTTTCTCTTTTCCCTCTTGTTTTATTCTAATCTTTCATAAAACTCTCACTTCTTGAATGAGACCCTCTTGACTGTTCTAGTCCTTGATGAAACCTACTTTCTTAGAACTCCTGTAACACTTAAGGCGGATAACCACACAATTTAGCTCTTGACTGTTTTATATGGTATGTTCAATGTTTATATGTTACAACACAGGGCCTGGTAAATAAAGATTCTCAAGAAGTATTTGTTGAACGAATCAAATGTTGATCTTGTCCCACCAGTTGCTAAGGTCTCCAAGATAGGGGCCATGCCTTATATATCTTCTGTGCCCTTGGGACTCTCGGCATATCATAGGTTCTTTATGAATATTCACTGACTGGCTCTTAGATTTCTGTTCTGTGTGTGTCCTTACCTTTCTGTTATTTTGTCCTCAGCCTGTGATTACAGTGAAGAGGCCTCTGAGTCCTCGGAACTCAAGTCCCCTTTTACAGGCAGAGTCAGGTTGCTGACACATGGGTTTTTTTGCCAGTCCCTTTTGAAATGCTCTCTTTAATTTCAGGACTAGGCCTTCTCACAGGGACAAATCCCTGGAGGAAGAGGTGGGAATGCTTAGGTTGGGGGAGAAGCATCGAGGATTTGGGATTGCAAAATACAGATCACTGACCAGAAATGATTTTACAGAACTTAGTCCTGGGTCTCGTTACACAGTACATTCTGGGAAAAGGCCATTCTGTGTGTACCTTGTCCTGTTTAAAAATTTAAAAAAAAAAAAAAGAGGAAAACTGATAATAACTAGCATTGCTGAGAGACTATGGAAAAACAGGCATTCTCATTGTTTATGGGAATATAAACAAATGCAAGCTTTTTGAAGGGTAATTTGCCATTATATTTTAATTCTTTAGAAATGTCTACATGTAGGTATTAAACTTTCAGACATTTATTTTAAGGGAAACATTAAGGATGTGTGCAAAAATTTAACAAGAATGTTCATCACAGCAATGTTTATAAAAGAAAAACTGAAAGAATCTGAAAGTTCAAAAGAGGACTGGTAAATTTAAATAACAGGCTTTCATACAATTAAATGTTTCAGCCACTAAAAAATAAAGTTGTAGATACAAATTTATTGACATAGATATATTCATGATATGCTATGAAAAGAAAGTTTATATAAAAATTTGTACAAGAAAAATATACACAAAAATAAGAATGATAGCCATTCAAAGTTTAAATATCATTTTAAAAAGAGAAAAAAAAAACAGGGGTAATATATCATAATCATAATGCAATAATAAATGAATCTCCCCAGATGGCATGAAGCCTGCCAATAGGATCTTAAAAAATTCAATTAAAAATAACATTTATATAATATAATAATGATTTGTATATACCATATAGCCAATGTAGCAGAGACCAACTAATATTTCAACTTCTTGAAGGAAAGCCTAATCTACTGAGAGAAAGGGGAGAACCAGATAAGCAGGCATCTCTATTATATTGTGCACCTCATGAACACTCAGCAATACTTGATGATGGCAGATGGTAGAATGGCTTTGCAGACCAGAAGGCCTCCAAGGTTTGCTACCCTGGATGGAATCTTTAATAATGTTGCCACACAGAACAGTGGGAGATATGTGTATGGTATGCATAGAATATGGTCCTTAACTCTTCCCAGTCTTGCTTCTTATTGGAGAGAGGGAAAAGATTGGCAGATGTAGCCAAGGCATAATGGATGTTTCCCTGGACCAAAGAATGAATTCAACATTGTACTGGGTAGTAGCCAAGATGTAGATTTTTCTTTATTAATATCTTATATGTATTTATTTGCTATTTCATTGGCATATATGCTTAAAAAGTTCTTTGTTTTAAATGCAGGTTATCCGAGGACATTTGATCCTAATTTCAAGGGGCCTGTTGCCAAGAGGTAAGCAATTTTTTTCTTGGAAATATATTTTTTTAACAAACACAGAAAGCTTACTTTAGGTACCATTTTCTGGTCAATGGAGTATTGTATCTTCTATGAAGGGGAAATGACTTATTTTTAGCCTAAATGTCACCTCATTTATATAGAGAAAATACAGAGAATAAATCTTTCCATGACTCATGAATATCCTCTCTTATTCAGCAAATGAAATGCCTTAAATTATTAGACTGAAAAGTTTGTATTTCTCAAAAAGAGAAGCCTAAAAATGCTCTACAAGATGTAACCACTTTGTAGAGAAGCAAACACATTTGAGTAGTTGTTTTATGCACCTGTTTACTCTGTGATTCACCACTGCAAATGCAGAGTTGCTATGCCAACTTCTTCCACACCAGGTATTTGTGCTACTCAGCTTCCAAAAGCAGAAAGCTTTCTTAGAGACAACCATTCACCACTGCATTGTGTAAGCTTTCAGATATTTTAGACTGCTCTAGGGAAGTAGGTACTTGTCTCAACTGGTGCTTCTCTCTCAAAGTTGTGTGGCATTTAAACACTATCCAATAATTCACAGGCCTCTTTTATTATTATTTTTACCCTCTTTTCCAGGATTCCTGCTAATCAGAAAGGTATTTGCAGGGTAGAATAGGTAAAAATGGGGAGAAAATTATGCTGTTGGTAGCTGGGTTTTGCTTAGCTTTGACTTTGATTTCTGGCATTTGTCATAATAAACTGCTGGATGAAATAATGATCAGCATGCTTGTTTGCACTTGCCAACCATCAGCATGGACATTAGCATTTACTGTGCCTACAATATCCCGGCTTTAAACAAATTATGTGTTCAGTTTATTCTAATTCTGAAAAAAGCCAAGTTGTTTGTTTGGGGTTACTTATTCAAAGGTGTACCAATGCCTTCTTTAGATTAAGTCTGAAATCTCTCATTCTTTCCGTGGTAACACCATGCATACATTCTGTTGTCCAGTATACAAACAGCCTCATTCAGTATGTAGGTTACTTTTACTGCACTTGCATTGATTTTATAGTAACTAATTTGTGAGAATCGAATCTAGCTTATTGGCCTTAAGGGACCTCAAGATATAACCCAGATTCAACAGTAGTAGTAGTTGTAGCAGTAATAATAATAATAATAATAATAATGTGCTGCCACATTTGGATGGACAAAATACAAATTAAAGGTGTGCCTTTTCTAGCTATAGAGAAGAAAGGAGAGCTATGCCTGGCTGGCTTTAGGTGTGGGGAAGGAGTTGAGATCTGTCTTTAGTTATTTAGAGTTTAATGATGGAAGCAGGGAGTCCAGGTAAAGTCTAACCCACTGTGATAATCACTATGAGCAAAGTAATTTGTTTTTACTGAGGGCCTTTTGTGATGTCTTAGGTACCACAGAAGCCTTCAAAGGTGCAATGGTCATTATGTGGGCATACCTCCCCCACTCTCTAATCCAAGAACAGGAAAAAGTATTGTTAAAACCACAGGGACTTAACTATAGGAAGACACAGTTGACCCATTTGTAACTTTCCTATAATGCCCTTCCTGGGAAACTAATTGTTTAATGAGCAAATGAGAAAGCCCAAATTCTTCACATTACCCCTAGCAGCAGGGCCAGCTTTAGTAATACCTTTTGCTTACAGGTATCACTTCCCTTCTGAGAGATCCAAATTATTATCAGATATTCAGGCCAACCCTTTCAGCATTCTCTGCTTCTCAGTCGACCATGTTCTGTACACCTCTCTCAGTTCACAAGGATATCATTTGTACCCAGTAATCACTCAACTGTAGTTACTTCTAGGAGAGGTGAAGGAATGATGGTAGTGCCATAGGAGATATTAACTCAGTTTCTCATTTGTTCCCATCCACTAAGAATTGGACCTATGGGAACCAATGCCCCATAATATTGATCCCCCCCAAAAGGATGATTTTGATAGTTTAAGGTGTTTTTCCAGTCCCTTTTGAAAAGTACTTATCCAGTGCTCAGGCTTTGTCCCCTATATTCAACAGACTTTTTTATAAGTTTTATTTTTAACATTGGATTGAGACTGTGAGCTTGGTAAAAATGAAATGGCAGGGAAAATGACTGCAAATAGAAAACAAAGAAATAATGCTCTTTTGTAAGATGCTACATGAGAAATTCCTCTTGTAATTTAGAACTAAGAAAAAATTTTTCATTTAATGGAGAATTAGTATACTTTCTTCTGTTAGATAAGGAGAACTGTGTAATCCACTATATTTCTCCTTTCGTACTGAATTCTAGAAAGCCCACTGATAAGTTTAATTTCAGTGCCAACAACTACATTAGTCTTTGAGTCAAGAATTTCTTTTCGGGAGTTTGAAATTTCTATTTCTATTTTAATAACTATTGCACCCAGGTGTTTTAAGTCATTTCATTTAAGGTTTTTTTTTTTTTTTTCTGGAAAGAGGCAGCGTATAGGTAGACAGGTAAATAGAAATAAAAGGCCTACATGTTCCATAATTGCCTTTTTTCCCTTTATACACAAAACAGATGAAGGACAGAGGACTCATACTAATCAAATTGGGAGGTTTCACAGTGCTGAAAATACCTATTATTATGAAGGGTGGGAAATCTGTCTGAAATGTAATAAGATGCATTTATTTCTACCTGAAGCACTGGGAGGATGTGGCAAATCCACTATCATGAAAGGGGTTCAAGAAGAGAAAGAAGCAGCATTCATTAGGGATGTGGTAGAGGGGATTCATTCACACAAAGGAGTTGGACTAAATGACCTCTAAGTCCTTTTCAACCATGAAATTTCACAACTGATTCAACTCTTAATGCCAAAGCACAGAAGGAAGAGTCCAGCTTATGGCCTAAGTGATGCACATGGAAAGTACTGTACTGATGTCCTCTTGTGACTTCTAAAGTGCCATTATCAAGTAGACATCTCAAGTTATTGTGAGAATACAATGCTGTCTCTTAAATTTATGCAGTTATATTGGCTACTTGTTGAAATAATTGGTGTGCTTTTTTGTTATACCAATTATAACATCATTTATTTTTACTTCCTTCCATTTCCTTTCACATTTGGAGACTAAAAGTTTTCAAAGGGAGTGCTATGGATATAGGCTTTTTATTTCAAACTATTTTGTAAGTCAAAATGGCTTGTAACTTCCTCTCTTCCCTCATATTCTCTCCAGTAGTGATTTGTTCTCTAACACTCTCCTCACACTGATTTTGAGAAGGTTACCAATGATTTCCATCTTTCCAAGTGCAGTGGGTGGTGTCTTTTGTTTTAACCTCGCAGCAACGTTTGACAAAGGTGACCACTCAACTTTTTGAAACACTCTTTTCTCTTGGTTTCCTTGACCTTATACTCACCTGAAGATTCTGTTACCTCATTGGTCTCTACTTTTCAGTTTCCTCAATCTTTGCTTGATCTCCATATGTTGGGATGCCACAGGACTTGGTCCTTGGCCGTCTACTCTTCTAGTCTATTTTCAGACTAAGCCAATAACTTTAAGTATTATCTGTAGGTCAATGACTCCCAAGCTTGTATAGTTACCAATGACTCTTCCATTGACCTCTGTATTTCTGGATTTAGCTGCCTACTTGACATGTATGTCTCTTTGAATTCCCAATATTTATTCTCACTTAATGTGGCCCAACCGAGCTCTTGATTCCTACTGTTTCCCCAGAGTTCTAAAACCTCCCCCCTCAGTCTTCTCCATCTCAGAAAATGACACCAATATCCATTAGGTTACAGATCCTTGGTTTCTTATTTTTTTCTCATCTCCCACATTCACGCCATAGGAAGTCTTATTGGCTTTAGCTCCACAATATATCACCAAGCCAACTGCTTCTCCATCCTTCCTGCATCCATGGCTCTATACATCCTGCCTATACCTTTGCACTGGACCCTAGCATTGTCTTCCTTCTTAGACTCCTGCTTTTCTTAAATCCATTATCCACACAAGACCCTGAGTGAACTTTCAAATCATAGATGAAATTACGCAGCTCCTCTACTTATATATTTTCAATAGTTTCCCATAGCACTTTGATTAAAACTCAGACTTACTGGGCCTTACATGAGTGCCCTTTGTGTAATTCACTGACCTTATCCCCTACCACTCTTTCTCTCTTTATCCTCTCATTGTAGTTACACTTGCTTTCTTCCAAATATTTGAACATTCTAAACTTACATCCATCTTGGAGACTTTGTGTTTGTTATTCCTCTGCCTGAAATGTTTTGCCCCCAGACCTTTATATGGCTGGCTACCTCTTATCATCCTGCTCCTAACTGCCATTGCCTAAGAGGCCTTAATGACAACCCAGTCCCCCAGTCACTCTCTCTCTCCCTTTTTTTTAGTAGTTTCAACTTTTTATTTAAATTCCAGTTAGTTAACATAGTCACTCTCTGCCACATCATTTAATTGTATTTACTTTATAATATTTATCACTACTGAAAAACTGCTTTAGTCATTTCTTTGCTTACATAATTAATGTCCTGTCTAGAGTATCAGGTCAATGAAAAGCAAGAAACTTGTCTCTTTTGTTCATCATTCTATCCGTGGGTTTATACAGTCCCGACACCTATGTATTTGTTGGATGACTAAATGAACTATCACCCTAGCTTCAAAACTGAAGATGTGCTGGAAAGGACAGACGCTAGTTGGAATGAAGGCAGGATTCCATTTAGAAGATTATTTCAGTAATCCAGCTGAGAAATGATTAAAACGTAGACTAAGGCAGTGGCCCTGGGAGAGAAGTTTAAGAGGTAATGAAAAGGCAAAACTTTTAAGGCTTTTGGACTGACTGTATGTTGGGGATAGAAAAGAGAATTTAGCATAGCTGTGCCTGATATTCAGATGGATTGTAGTTATGATCACCAAAGCAGGAGACACATGAGGAGAAGAAGGATGGTTACGAAGGGCAGAGAAAACCATAAATTTAGATTTTGAAATGTTGAGTTTGGGATTCCTGTGCCATATCTAGGTAGGAATATTTAGTAGAAAGTCAGAAATATACTTCCAAG